TGGAGAGGAGATCTGTAGTTGTTTAGTCGCTCAGTCATGTCCGACTCTTTTGCAACTCCTTGGACTGCAGCCCACCAGGCTCCACTATCCATGGAATTTTCCAGGCAAGAATACTGGGGTGGATTGCCATTTCCTCTTCCATGACCCAGGGACCTTCATGACCCATGAATCTAATCCGCATCTCCTGCATTGCAAGTGGATTCTTTACCACTGAGCCACCAGGGAAGCCTGGAGAGATCGATACATCTGGGAAAAAAATATCTTGTCTGACTCTCCCTGAAGGCTAGTTTCAAGCAGACCGCTGAGCTGTTTTATCTGTCTGCCAGTCTGGGATGATGACCTCTTTTCAAGGTATTTAAAAGAGCAGCATAAGTGTCATATCTCCTCTTCACTGCTGTTTCAATCAGGCTGCTATCAGGAGTTAGACTTCATCCCAGATGGCTGGAATTCAGGAACCTTAGCAGAGTGGTTACTTGCAGATGAATGGGCCGGTTTAGAAGAATTGAGGCAGGCAGATGCTAGCAACCACGGGAAATAGTTGCTACTCAGCTTTCCTAGTGGCTCAGTGGCGAAGACTCCACCTGCCAGTGCAGGAGACTTAGGAGACATGGGTTCGATCCCTGGGTTGGGGAAGAGCCCCTGGAGGAAGTGAAAAGAAAGTGTGAAGGTGTTAGCCACTCAGTCGTGTCTGACTCTTTGCAACCCCGTGGGCTGTAGCCCGCCAGACTCCTCTGTCCATAAGATTTCCCAGGCAAGAATACTGGAGTGGGTTGCCATTCCCTTCTCCAGGACATCTTCATGACCTAGGGGTGGAACCTGGATATCCTGCGTTGCAGGTGGATTCTTTATCATCTGAGCCAACAGGGAAGCCCTCCTCTGGAGAAGGAAATGGAACCCACTTCAGTATTCTTGCCTGGAAAATCCCATGGGCAGAGGAGCCTGGCAGGCTACAGTCCACAGGGTTGCAAAGAGTTGGATGCTTCTGAGCATATATAGAAAGCTGAAAGATATCCAGTATAATTGTTCTTTACCATCAACCAAAGATTTTCCCCCATTTTCTTAAGTTTCCCATCTGCTTCCCATCAGATACTTTTATTTTTTTTTAACAATGCAACATCTTGACTTCTTGTTAATTCATTAAGTGAAAGTATTTTTGGTTGTAATGTATGAGTATGGGGATTCACCTGAGAAATAGTTGATCAAATTTTTTCACATGAACAAATTGGACTTGGGGAATTTCTAAATGACATGAAAAAATTTTTTACGTGAGTTTGTGTTCTTTGTCATCAGAAAATGTAATTCTTGCAGAATGCATTATTGGTACCATAATATTTAGCACATGTTATTGTCAACTGTAATTGAAGGTTTTTCAAAGTGGGCATTTTAATGTAATCTCTGATCCTAGAGATTTCTTGACACTGTAACTTTGATGTGGCTCCTTTGATTGAAGTATGCTTTTATCAGTAGGATTACTACTTTTATTAAAATTATTGTTGGGGTTCAGTGGCCAAGTCACGTCCAACTCTTTGCAACCCCATGGACTACAGCACACCATACTTCCCTGTCCTTCAGCATCTCCCATAGTTTGCTGAAACTCATGTCCATAGAGTTGGTGATGCCATCCAACCACCTTATCCTCTATTGTCCCCTTCTCCTCTCACCCTCAATCTTTTCCAGCATCGGGGTCTTTTCTAGTGAGTCAGTTCTTTGCATCAGGTGGCCAAAGTATTGGAGCTTCAGCCTCAGTCTCAGGAGCCTCAGTCTCAGGAGCTTCAGTCCTTCCAATGAATATTCATGGTTGATTTCCTTTAGGATTGAATGTGTAAGCTATTTTGTTTTATCCTATACCCAGGTAACATACTCTTGCTGAATTCCACTGTCAGGGATGTGTCGTAAATTGAGGGTGCAGGATGGGATGAGAAATGGGTGAGTTTCCAATATGCAGTGGCCATATTAAAAATAATCCATGCCATTGAAATGGCAGTGGTAAAGTGGCTAGATAAAAAATAAAAACAGAAATGGTCTGCTTGTTTGCACATCTATTCTCTACCCTAAATTGTGAGCAGTTCAGCAGAAACTGAGTTTGGGATCAGCATACAGAAGGATTAACTGCTATATGACTAATTTTCTATATTGCCACTCAGTTTAGCAGTTTGGATTGAGGAAAGGGAAACTACGTGGGTCTGTAGCATTTGATAAACTAGAGGTCCATGAAGAACTATGGTAATGACTGTGAGTGCTGTGTGTGGTGACAAGTGTGCTCCAGCCAGTAACAATGAGGGGATGGTGGACATGGTGGAGTGGTTGGTGGATAGTGTTGGTGAAGGAGTTGTGGAGATAGATACGGGAATGATGATGTTGGTGGCAGAGCTGGCAACATCGGTGGTAGAACTGACGATGCTTATGGTGGTAGAAGACGTAATGAAAGTTGAAGAGGTGAAGATAGTGAGTTGGCCTCACTTCTAATAGAGCTGCTATTAGAAGTGAGGTTGTTGATGGGGATAGGGCAAGTGTTAGTAATGATACTGGTAATTCCATAAATGGTGGTAGAGCTTAGAAATCTTGAAGCTTTATGAAGTGATGTGATATCACATGACATTTAAATTGTTCTGTGTGTCTTTGGCTGGATACCAATAATGAAGCATGGTAAATTTACTTGCAGAGAGATTTGCCATACTGAGCATTCTCATTGCAGATGCTCTTTAAGTTTTTCCTTAATTACTGATACTTGTACCATGCTGTGCCAAAAAGCAACACTCTTGTCAGTTTCAACACTGTGCATAAGTTCTTCTAATAAATATTATTCAGCCCCAATTATTGGATATTTTTAGAGTAAACCTGGCTTCCCCTATTCAATGCAGTGCTCTTCAGAGTTGATTTTTATCCGGAAAGTGATGCTATTTAGTCAGGGATTATCTTTTATCTCTGTTTGCAAAACAGCTGGAAGTGTAGCTACTGAGATTTGATGTTTGTCTTCCTGCACTTGACTGCCAAGCAAAATCATTTCATTTTAATCGACAGAATTTACCTTTGTAAATTAGCATGTGCATATACCATTGAAAGATTGAAACTACAAGTTTGACCTTCTAGTAGGTATAATACATGATCTTTTTTTTTTTTTTTGGATAGATAGAATGTTCTTTGTCTTTCTCATGGTATGTTTGAAATTAAACAAAAATGTCCGTAGTGAATTTTCCCTTTTCATTGTTTAAAGTAAACCTCCTAAAAAAAAAAAAAAAAAAAAAAAAAAAAAAAAAAAAGTAAACCTCCTTCTCTCTGCCTGGCCACAGGTGACTTATTCTTCCAACTGGGAGACCACATTTGATTCTAGAGACCAGTATGAACCTGCTCAACACATTTTCAGCTTAAACAACTGAGAATTTTTCTTATTTGATGTATTTAAGAGTATCCACGGTTTATGGTTACTGAATATTTGCTATGCAGCTGGCACTTTTCATGGCTATCTCATGATATGTTCTAATACATTCACATTTTATGGATAAGAAAAGTGGGGCTTTGGGAGCCACACTTATACTTGGCAGAGCCAGGATTTGGACCCAGCTGCTTACTGGTACCCATGCTCTTAACCGTTATGATACATTTCCTGTAGATTTCCACCAATGTGGAATTTAGTTCAACTCTCCTTTTCTACTTGAAAAACCAAGTAGATTTATTTTTTTTAAAAAAACGTCTGGGTTTTTTGGAGAAGAATAAAGATTGCCCTCCAGGAGAAAGGGAACCATATGGAAATTATCCATTTTATTCTTGACTTAGAAAATGTTTGTTTAAATAATGGGATCGGACTTGGAGTTAGAAATCTGTAAGGTTAGTTACACACTCTACAATCTACCAGCCCCGAGATCACAATTTAGTCTCTTAATCCGCAGAATTTGGGACATTAGAGGCTCCTTTCCCTCATTTGCCAAAGAGAGAAATAATCTGCCCTATTCATCTTAGATAGTAACAACTTTGTAAAGATTGAACTCAGAGTAACTTGACTGGACCCCTGCAGTGATGTCCTAATCAATTACCCTTCTTCTGATCTCTACCTTGCAAAGTTCTTCTCCATGATAGTTTCCCTAAAGTGTCCCGTTAACCATGGCTCTTGTCTCATCAGAAACCTTCTTTATGTAACCATTAACTGTAGGATAAAATTAAAGTGCTTAACTTGATATTCAAGTTCTTTTGCATCTAGTCCTTCCAATCACACCTTTCACATTCTCCTTTAAAGAACCTATATGCTACTTTATTTTTTTTTTTTTGAAATTTTGAGATTTTTCATTTGAAGGTAAATCTTAATGCTATTAAATTCACAAATATGCTAATTTAAATACCCAACTCTATTATCTAAAACACATATTGCAAACATACAAATATCTATTCTCTCCACATGTCAGAGCCATTCGTTTCATGGTTTGGAAATGGGGAGAATAGATTCCCCTTAAACTGCAAGTCAGCAGGTGTTTCTTTACAGTTAACTTTAGCAAAATTCATACAAAATAGTAATTAACAATGATCTTCTTTACTTGTTAACTCACAAGGAAACACCTTCAAAACTGCATTTTGTTAAAGTTTCTGTACTAAAATGTAGAAAAACTGAACTACACAAATATTGAAAAGTTAAAAATTCCTTAATTTTTTATTCCTGGTACCACTACCACAATTTACAGGGCAATATACCTGATGTAATGAAAAGAAAAAGAAAAAGAAAAAGCTACAACAGATAAAAGACCTCAGGAATGTACACCTAATTGACACTACATTGCATTAATCAATAGCTGCACTTTTTGCAAACTGTGGCTATGACAGTCCTGAACAAGAAGGGTTTCCTGTTGAAGCTGCAGTAACTTTTCTGACTGTGGATCATCGTTCCTCCTGTGGCAGATTTTTACAGTTCCTCTAACGCATTTGGGACGACTGTCTCAGAGTAACCTGCAGCTTTCCTGACAACTCCTCGCTCTCTCTCCTGCTAAGAACTGTAGCCCTTTTCTTCTGAGTTTTTAGAACCTTCTGCTACCATATCCACCACTTCCACCACCAGATCCATAACCACCACCATAGGGACTGCCCGAGCTGCTTCCACCAAAACTACCCCCTTTCATGGGTCCATAATTTGATTGCTGTTGTCCACTATAATTTCCAAAATCATTATCGTTTCCACCACCACCATAGTTACCACCTCCAAAATTTCCTCCTTCATTGTAACCATCGTATCCTCCACCACCGCCACCATATCCACCACCTTGGTTTCCATATCCTGGTCCACCACCACCGTAACCTCCTCTGCTACTATAACCAGGACCACCGCCATAGTTGCCACCATCACCTCCAAATCCATTGTATCCACCATCACCTCCTCCATAACTCCCTCGGCTGCCACCACCTCCACCACCATAGCCTCCTCTTCCACCAAAGTTTCCACCACGGCCAGAGTTACCTCCACCACCTCCAAAGTTTCCTCCACGACCCATAAAGTTGCCAGATCCACCTCCACGACCTCTTTGTGATCCAGCAGATTGCATCTCTTGTTTAGAAAGGGCCTTTTTCACTTCACAATTATGCCCATTAATAGTGTGGTATTTCTGAACAACAGTTTTATCAACTGTATCATGATCATCAAAAGTTACAAAAGCAAATCCTCTCTTTTTCCCACTCTGCCTGTC